ATCCTTTGCATTTCTGCTCACATAAATCACAAATGTAGCTGCCAGGGACTGGTTTACATTTGAAAAATTACTGCCATTCCTAAGACATGACGCAGCTGATTGTAACTCAACCACCACATGGTATTTCAGCAGAGTAAATACTTCTTTGAGACAAGAATAGTCCTACGTGCTGGTCCCTCCAGCAGGGAAAAATATAATGGGTTTAAAAGGTCACCAATAACTATTAGGGGTAATTACCTGTCTGTTAAAAAAATAAAAATCTATTCAACGCCCCCCCCACCCAATAAAAGATGATAGATTGAAAACTTGGGGGCTGCTACTTGCCCCTGTAACAAATAGCTGCTCTTGGTAACATGGCCGAGGTATTTCAGCCCTAGCAAATGGCCCCGCTGCTTTTGGAACTGGATCAAAACAAGCCAGCCCCTTTCAAACAGCCACCCGTGTATTTGCATAGCTGGAATACAACATGTAAATCCCTGGAATGGGATGTGAAGAGGCAGAGAAAGCTTGGGAATTAGAGCTGCCCAAAAGTTTCTCAACTTTTTTCTTTAAAAACGTACCAGACGAACCAAAATACTTTCCACTAAACTACTTGAAGTGCTTTGTTCAATTAGATTCCCTTGGGCCCAACATTTTACGACACTTTCTACCCAAAACACGACTGATTTTACTTTGAGTCTATAAAGATTACTAAAATACAAACAATTCATTGATACACCTCATTGACCAGTGAAGCTTTCTGGGCTCATAATAACATATGAAGTTATACATCTAACAATTTCGGAAGACCATAGGCAACAAATAATACCTTTGGTTTCTCCTGCTCCTTCCAAGCAGAACATGGCAATTTGTGGCTTTCAGCCTTTTGCTGCAAGCTCTAAGTTTGCTGTTGGGTTGAAGCATTTCGTGGTGTGTGGAGCAAATGCTCCATTACTGCCTTCAACTGCAGAGGCTCAGGCACGATAACCTGCCCAGTCCCAGCACACAAGCTCTGTGAGCAGCTGTTATCCCCAAATTCTGGGTAAAGAGACATTTCAAGAGGTGACCACAGCAGTGCCTCCAGGTGCAAGCCACCAACCTCACCTGAACACGAGCTGTTCTGGACCTCACGCCTCTAAGCTCTTTCAGCAGAACTCCAGTTGAATTCTCATTGTGGGAGACCAGATTTGTGGATTGAAGGGTAGATACGTACACAAATCACCTACAGAACTGTAAATAAACACTTCTCATCCTGTTAGCTCACAGTCAGAGGAGACATAGAAAGCATGCGTACCTGACACATCACTGCTGTCATCTGGAAACTGCTCTGGCTGGAAACCCAGCACTTTTTATTTCTGAACTGGTTTTGGGCTGGCTCAGTTCCCCGCCCTGGCTTACCACGCTGCCGTTGCTGCTTTTTCAGACTGCATGAGGCAGCAATCAAAAAAATGGGGTCCAACTACTTCTGATAGCAGCCTGGATACACTGCAACAGAACATCTTATCAGGGGGATTGGACTAGACGATCTTTCAAGGTCCCTTCCAATCCCTAGCGTTCTGTGACTCTGTGATCTTATCATTCCACAGACTCCAGATTTCTCTCATACTTCATGCTGAAGCCAAGCACCGAGAGCACGGTCTCTTCCAGTCCACGAAGAACACTTACAGGTTAAGAGCAGTTGATGACTGAAGAAAGAATTGCTTTTATAACTGAAGTGGAATACTTAAGCTAAAGTTAATGCAAGCCTGTGTCACTGCCAGCAGGAAAAAAAAAAAAATACTGTGGATTCCCTAAGTTAATCATTTTAAAACAAGCAGAAAGTAAAAGTTAAAAGCTGCGGGGAGCCATTCAGGTATTCTTTCCTCCAGTGCAAACTCTTTTGACAGAACAGAGTCTGTGTGAAAGCCATTCTGCAAGTGCCAACTTCTTTTTGAGAAAAGCACTGCTCCAAGAATAGGCTACTTCATTGAGTCTGGAGCAAAGACCGTCCAACTTCGGTATCTTTCCTTCCCAACCTAGAGGTGAAACGTATTGCAAGGAAGCTTAGGGAGGCCCCCAATTGCTGCTTCAAAAGGCATGATGTTGCCCAGCAGACGATCAGCAGCGTTTCTGTCCCTTTACAAGGCTGAAGGTTCCAAACTCACATCTGTTACTGGGTTGAAAAGTCATCGAGAGTGAGAAACTGAAAGTCATTTGCCTCTCACGTATGTTTCCCTTAGGATGCTGTAATTTCCAGTTTCAAACTAAGTCCATATGCCATCAGCAGTATCCATGCTAAAGGTAGCATTCACAGGTTTAACCAATTGCAAACAAAACTCCTGGAAGACAGCAAATCCATTTGAAACCTCAATCTGTAGAATATAACCCAGGAGATAAACCATTCTGAACCGAACCGCAAAGATTAGACAAGTGACACTGAGTCACACCGTTAACTTCTCGGAATTTCCTACTGTGCTGGTATGATTTACGGGGGTATGTTTAAAAAATAAATAAAAAAGCAAGCAGCTCTGGGTTAGTTTCCAAACTGCAGATTACTAGCAAACCCTGTGTGTGTTTGTTGTTTCTAAAAGGAATGAACTTCTAGCTTTACACTTCAGAACCATCAAATTGCCCACGCTACCAGTGAGTAAAGTTCTTACCCTCCACGGGCCCACACTACAAGAACCAGTGGCACTGCCCTCATCGCAGCCACCTTCATATTTTGTACCACCAGGCACCCTGCCTAGCAGACATTATCAGCACAAGAGGCTCACAATTTCCTTTCAACCCACGTCAACCTCTTGAGACTGTGGCATCATGAGAAGAAGCTTAATGCCCCTGCTCTGAGCTTTTCCATACAGAAGTGGATCTTTTCCATCTCATGTGATCAGACTACACTCTGTCCTAAGCATTAGTACCCCTACAGACTGAAATCGAGATCCTACAACCAGCCATAAACACGCTTAGTCTGCCTATGACGAGTAGGCCTGATTATTGTTTCTGACAGTCACATTAAGCAGGAATGCAGAGAGGACTGGCACCTGAGAGCAAAGCTTTAACAGGGCACGGGATGCAACTGCAGACGGGAAACTGACAGCTCTGCGAATATCAAACTGACCAAATTAAGATTCATTAACACCACCTATCAGACACTGCCTGATAAAATTTGTCACTGCATAAATAATTCTGTCTACTGCCTGGGAATTAACTCCATCAGCTGTGTTGCAAAATAAAAGCAAGAGTGGAAGCAGTACAGCCTCTAGGTCAGTTTGGTCCATGAGTCTGCAGGCAGGGGAAGTGAGCATCCTTTCCACACAGCTGTCTGAATGCACAGACCTACGGGGACGCTTCCCACCAGCACTTTTTGGTCGGCAACATAAGGGAACAGGTAATTTTTCCTCCACCCTGCTTACTCACAAGCCAGTGCCCTTTGTGGAAAGGAGATGTCCTAATCAGCAGTTGGCTGAAGCCAGCACACAAAAATCACCCCGGAAGCAAGATGAAATGTTGACTAGAGGAGTGCCTCTGATTCATCCCGCTGCCCAAGGCCATTCTTCAGGTAGCAGAGCCTTACTCAAAGCTGTGCTTAAAAAAAAAAGGGCACAGAAAAAAAAAACACACAACGATCTAGCCCAGCCATTCAATTATGATTATGTAGCTTATTTGGTTGTAATACCCAACATTTTTAATTCCCGACGCTTGGAGTAATCTCACTAAGTCATACACACGGGCTGCCACGTACAAACAGCCTGGGCTGTTGGCTGCCCAGAAAGAAGCAAAGTTCAGGGCGTACAGCACTCCACACCCTCCCGGTTACCAGAGCAGAACTAGATAAGGCCGTGCTGCATACGGTACCTCTGAAGTTATTTAGCCAAACTTAAGCCACAGTCCTGCAAGGAGGAGGCTGCCTCCCTGCAAAGCCACTTTGCAATCGAGTTGGTTTTCAGAGTCACTACACAAAGCTGCGCTGGATGAGGTCCCTCATTTTTCAGCCCAAGGACTGAACTTGAACAAGCAACCTCATGGGAGCTGGGGCAACTGACACTTGGCAAGCATGAAATGAGAAATTTGCCTCGCATCAAAAAAAGTCCACCGAGGAACCCACAGGGCACAAAAGAGCGCCCTGCATTAAAATAAACTGTAAGGAGCTGTGTGTCAGTCATGGCTTCCTGCATATCGTTCCCGTCCAATTCTTGCAATCAACCTCAGAATTGTGTGGTTTTTGATTTGTCACACTCACAAGAAAATGGGAACTTATCGGCAGCACCACTGGTTATGTTCCGCCTAGAGGGAGGCAAGCCAGTGTCCAACCCCCTCCTTTTAATTGTTATCGGGACAAGGCAGAAGGCACAAGGTGCCAGTTAAGCCTTCACTGCTCCTCCCCTCACCTCAAAATATCACTGTCAAGATTTCCACCCCCCTGCAAAGCCATCCCCCAGAATCCCCAATTCCCACATTGCAAACTTCTTATCCTGGCGTTACTTTTCCTATCCACAGCTCCGTTTGGGGACAACAGCAGGCATTTCTGCTGCTACATTAGATCTCTCCGTGCTGAGACACACTGCAGAGGCAAAACTACAAAGGTCAGTCCTGAGCCCACAAACCCAGAGCTCCAAGGGCGGGCGCTGAACGCAGCCTCCATCCCCACAGGTCCAAAGAGTGGATGCCGGCGGCTGAAACTTGAAAGTGGAAGAGGGCAGAAACTGGGAAAAAAGAAGGTAGCAGTGGAGGAAGTGTGGGGAGGAGAAAGGAACCGAGGGTCCGCGGGGCTGAGCAGCAGGGGAGGAAGAAAAGGCATAGAGCAGGGGAAGCGAAGGGAGGTGCTGCATGGGGAGGGCTTGGGGGGGGGGGGGGCACAGGGAGCTGGGAAGGGGGAGCAAGGGAAAGGGGGGAACAAGGAAAAGGGGTGCAGGGAAAGGGGGGAGCAAGGGAAAGGGGGGAGCAAGGGAAAGGGGGGAGCAAGGGAAAGGGGGGAGCAAGGGAAAGGGGAAAGGGGGGAGCAGAGGAGCCGGGCAGGGGGAGCAGCTGGGGCTGGCACTCACCGACGCCGTACTTCTCCCGCTTGGTGGGGATCCAGCGGGCCATCCCGGCGGCGCTTCCCCCAGCACGGTCCCTGTGCCACCGCCTCCCGGCCCGGGCCGCTCCGCCATGCGGGACAACTGCCCGCAGCCGCCCGAGTGCCGGCCGCCGCCGAGCGGCAAGGAGCGGAGCAGAGGGGAGGGAACAAGGCCGGGGGCGGCCCGGCACCGCACGGCTCCGCCCGCTGGGACTCACCTGCGGCCGCTCCTGCTGCTGGAGCAGCCGGGGAGCCGCTGGCTGCAGGCTTTGCTCGAGCAGTGAGCCATTAAGGAGGAAGGAAACTGAAGGGTTAGTTTAAAAGTAGTGTGGAAAAAAAAATAGGAAGCTTACGGGGCTGTGCTCTGCTGAAGATATGAGGCTCTTGCTTGCAGGGCTGGGTTGGTTCCTGGTGTAAGACTCCGGTGAAATGGGACTTGCTGGAGAGTTTCAAACTGGTGACAGAGACACAGAATGGTTAAGGCTGGAGAAGCCCTCCAAGGTCATCTGGTCCAACCGTCCCCCTCCCACCAGCATCACCCGCTGTGTCCCCAAGCACCACATCCAACCTCTCCTCCAACACCCCCAGGGACGGTGACCCCACCACCTCCCCGAGCATCCCATCCCACCGCCCGACCTGCCCTGGGCTGTGCGGACAGCTGGGGGTTTCTACAAAGCCAGCTGGACCTGAGAAGGTCCAGGTCCTTCTCCCTCGGGGGCTGTAAGTCACCAATGTGCTTCTTATCCTTGCAGTATGCCTGTCTCCAATGCCAAGCAGTGAACACTGCAATAAGTGTGACTGTTTGAAAACGCAACCACCTGTATAACTGCACTAAAGCACAAGAATGTGGAGAAAAAATAATCTTATCTTCCAAGTGAGGAGCACTAGGGGCAGCCCTGCTGCTCAGCTCGTGCAGATCACTTCATTGCTGATTCCCAGCCTCCATCCCTCCTGTGTGTTCCAAGCATACCTTCCATACCACGCTCTCCCACCTATGAGTTTCTTCTAAATTTAATTTGCCTTCATCTCCACTGACGCCTCTAAGTGGCAGAGTAACATAAATGAGAGTTAATTACTGGTAATTTGCCCTCTCCGACAAATAAACTTGTTCTTTGCCAGCCAAAACTTTAAACCCAAGGCCACCTGATATCACAGCACCACCATACAATATTTTGTGCTTTTTAACAATACCTGCTGGTCTGTCATCTGACAAGAATGCGTGGCCTATGAAGCTGTTGCATGCCCAGTCCATTACTCATCCAGCTGTGATGTGCTGTAACGTTACGCCCAGTTCCCACTAGAGAGCCAAATCCTTCTCTCAGACGATGTTTTGATCTCCCTAGGGGTGCTCCCAACTTTGTTCAGCTGTGTGCTGCTGAAGCACCGAGCAGCAGAAGATTAAACGTGGACACGAGCTCTTTCGGTACCTGCACGGCACCTGAAGGGTCCACGCGGAGTTTGTCAGTGTGTGGAACAAGTTGTAACAACAAAACAGCAAGATTTGCAAGCTGGAACTGGTTAACTAATCTGTTCTGTACAAAACACTCACTCAACCCAGCCAACTGTGCCTCTGATGCTGTACTGACACCTACCTGAAGTCGTCGTTCTTATCCCACAAAGCCTACGGTACCTCTAGCTGAAGATTCGGTAGTGCCACTAAACACAGACCTTGTAGGGGTTTTGTGGCGAGCTGAGGGCTTGCAGGAACGGCATGGAGGCATCCAACAAGTTCATGCACTTGTATGAAGAGCAAATATTGAAGCATTTTGCAAATCGTTTTACTCTGGAAGATTCACCCAAACTTTTTCTCTAAAAGGAAGCTTAATACTGCAAAATTCTTGGAGACCTTAACACAAAGAACAATGCAATTAGGCTATCAAGACAACTAAATGGGGTGATGGTCGGTCTAAGCCCCTCTGATCTGATCTTGCACTGTCTGGATTCAAAAATATTCCCCTATACCATTGGGATAAGGCCTCTCTGTGGCCCTTTTGCAGTGTGTGGCAGAACAAACGATGCAGAGGAGACGGCTCCTCTTGCATCACCCCACATTCCTCCCTGTCCAGGGAACTTTCCATCCGCCCTGGAGGGCTGCTTTAGCCATGCCTGAAGTGTTGGTCTTGTAAAAGCTGCAGTACTTCAAGCTAAACATTCCTCGCTGCAGTTCAAGGTGTCACGTGCGTGCTAACATCCAAGCTTAGCTAAAATAACCCTCCCTTACAAGAGAAAAACACCTCTTTCTTTTCTGCCAGAATTTTCTTCTGTTCCATTTAGCGACGCTGAGCAGTAGTTCTCTGTAGCATCACCCCAAAACGAGAAGAGAGGCAGCTTGGTAAGCGTCTGGAGGTGACCAGGGAGGGACTGTTCAAAGTGCCTGGATCTGAGGCCAGAATATTAAGGGAGAAAAACTCCCTTAAGGAAGAGGAAAATGCAGTGAGTTTTTGAAAGCCCACCTGTATTCTGGCTGCCAAGGCCTTTGGCTAGAGGTTCTCTAACCGAGTCTGCCTGACAGCCTAGCACCTTGATTTTAAGATTCCTGATTTTATAGTTGAGCTGGCTGAGCTGCATCAGTATTTTCCAACCCAGTTAAAGCAAATTCTTGGCAGCAAATGAAAAACAGAGCAAAACATGAAAGACAGACAAGCAGCAACTAGAGTAGCTGCTTCTTTTTTTGTTGTTGTTGCCTTTTTTTTTTTGAACGGAAGTAAGGGTAGTTGGCGTATGATTCATCAAATACAATGATTTGCAAATATTAGGGCACATGGAATAGGAAATTGCAGCTATCACTGAAAGTCAAGTTTTATTTAGGAAACTTTTTATTTAATCTTATGTTACCAAACACGTTATTTTTTTAGTTTTAACGCGTAAGTGCAGTTTAACCAGGGACACTAATGGTAAACAGTCTGGACCCTGTTCTTCTCTGCCCCAAACAGAAGATAGACAGCTAAATTCCCATCAAGGTTACAATTAGAAATTAACTCTGTTTACATAAATGCCGTATCAAAGCCACAAGACTGAGGTCATGCTGCACATCAGAGTGGGAGAGAATTTGGGTGACGGGGGTTTATTCATGTTAGTACACTAAGAGCGCCGTATCACTTCTGTGCCTTTTACCTTTCACAGCTGAAAGAACAACGCAATTGCAATTGATCTGACTGCTGGAGTAAATCCTTTATCTACACTTGTCACTTCAAGACGTGAAGTTAGAAAGAGCCACATGTCCTAGAAACATTTCTCAAGTACTACCCACCTGCATCTCTTTCTTTGTGGAATAACTGGAGTTAAAGAAACGTAATTCTAGTGCCCTCCTATGTCCCAAATAAGAACTACAGCAGCTAAAGAATGTACTCACCTTCAATGGATGAAGGGAATAGGCAAAAAAGTTTTTCCTGAAGCACTAAACACTTTCCCAGTTGGATCTCCAGCCTGGATCCTACTTAGCTAGGTGTTGTGCATATACAACCAAAAAAATATGGTACTGGAATCAAGCAGTTTACAATCTAAATTAACAGAAAGGACGTGGAAACAGAGTGGAGAAAAAATAATAAAACTGTATTGTTCCACAAAACATTAAGTGGTTTTAGCACACCCCCAAAAAAGCTCCTACCACAACTAAAGCCACCTCTTCATTAGTGTAATAGTTCAAGCCTTCCTGCTGACGAATGATCAGGTCTACTTCAGAAATTGACCCTTATTTTCTGATCACTAGCAGAAATCGTAAATAAAAACCAGCAGAGTAAGCAATATAATCAGCTAAATATGCAAATATATTCATACACCACAAATAGGAAAAAGCCCCATTTATACCCAGCTGCCTGCACACGTTTTATCGTGGAATAACAATTAACCTTATCTGAAGATCTCACAGCCCAGATACACAGTTATATAGCTGAAGATTTCACTGCACATTTTGTTATCCAAGTAAGGCAAATGCTTGTACGATAATGGTAGTTTGGTTATTTAGTTGGCATTACCATACTGTCAGCTCATTTTGTTGTTCTGTTAATGTCACAGGGATATTTCTAAACAACTTGTCAACAAAACCACTGTACGGACCACCAATTTAATTGGCACTTTTTTTTTTCTTTTCTTTCTGGATTACTCTATACCAGCACAGCTGCGAGAAACAGCAAGCATTCATCACCTAAGCTGTGATTTGCAGCTACTACTACCATCTTTTGATCACCACCTGGGAGTAAGGTGCAACAAACTTGTCCAGAAGCACTTTCTGCTACTTGAGAGTGAAGAGCAAGCACAGGACGGTGTAATGAACAAGTCCATGAATTATGTCAAGATCCCTCTCTTCTGCAAATACGGTTTGTTCAGACCTCCTGCAGTGATGGAAGGAAACAATTTCTTCACTGGAAGAAGTACACAGCAGCTCTGGGCACAGCTCATTGACCCAAGGCCCAACATAAATGGGTGTTCACTGTTTCTGTTTTATTTATACACAGCATAAATTGCTTCTTAAGCAGAGCATTCAGTATTTCTCTGAACAGAGCAGCAAACTCCCCAGGAGGCTAACTGCATGTGATAGCAAACAGTTATCCTACACGGTATTCTGGGCTGGTAAATAAGCAGAACTGTGGGCAAACAGTGCTGCTGAGAGGACCAATAATGGAGAAGATGCAACGTAAAAGTTGTTGCTTTTGTGTAAAAAAAAATCCCCAAAGCAATTATGTGATTATGAAGCCGAGTTTCCTTCCCAAAACTGATGCACGTCTTGGGGACAGATTTGTAAAGGTATTTAGATGTTTAATGATGCTGTTAACGATGCTAGTAGGAATCTGAGAGTTACCTCAGAGCTAATTCCTGTGGAAATTAATGTAGGAACAGCAAGTTTCGCTAAAAGCCATTCAGGCTTAGATTTGCTAGTGTATGTCCCAATTAATAAAGACATGACACTGCATGTCCCAAGCACCGTGCCGTGCAGCCTTATTAGCTCAAATCCAGAAGCTGCAGAGATGCTGTCTTCATATGAATTACTCTGTTGAGTTCAGCAATGCCCAGAATCTTCCACTGTTAATGACTCTAGGACCTGTAGTCAAATAATAGGCAGGTACAGGTTTCTTGAGAGGTCAATAGGACTTGATTTCTCCTCATCAGCAGCAACTGGCATGATTAGCATCCCTAGCATGGGCCATGGCTGCAGCCCCAAAGCTCTGCAGTGCCCTTGGATTCCCTTCAAGCCAGCCCTGTATTTCTTCAGCCCTAATGAGGCAGAGCTGTTCGTT